GGAGCTCTGTTTGTGGAGTGCTTTCATAGCATGAAGCCGTGGGTTGTCCGTCCGTCCCCCCCCCCCCGGCATCTCATAAATCCTGATATTGTGCACACCTGTAATCTCAGCACCTGCATGATAGAGGTGGGACAATCGGGAGTTCAAGGTCTGTGGCTATGTAGCAAGTTGGTGAGCAGCCTCGGATACATTAGACCCCATCTTTTAAAAAAAATCCATCAGGCTTTGGTGCCTACTAAGCTCTGCCTCAGTGTGCCTCTTCTTGATACCATGATTTCATACTGTTTACCTTCTTAAAAGAAACTTGGAGTCTCAATTTTATTTAAAATGATCACATCTGCAAATGACTGAGCTGTGTGTGTGTGTGTGTGTGTGTGTGTGTGTGTGTGTGTGTATTGAAGAGAGAGCCTCTCTAGAATGTCAAAACTGACCCCAAATGGCAGGGTTCACACAAGAATGAAGGGACAATGATAAATGAAAATTCCTCCCTCATCCCACTGCCCTTTGATTGTGGAGACAGAAGACCTTTTGCCCTGTCCTCCTAGAGATTCAGGAAATGAGATGACAGAAGGTCACAAAGGGACCCAGTGCTTGTCTAGACTTGTAGGTAAACTGTCTCTGTCTGGCAGTGATCAGCTCCACACAGCATTGTTTTAGAAAGACACAATAATATGCAATTAGAGTTCAGGTTAGGGTCACAGAGAGAAAAGGAGTTCATTTGTGTTATAAGGAAGACATGACCAAAATGAGACAGGCGACCTCACTGTGGATTCACCAGGGTGTTTATCTAAGAAAACAGAAAGAAGTTAGTTCTGAATTGCTTCAGAAATAAGCACACTGCTGTGACTGGCATGTGTCCCTTACTAAATCCTCTATTAGTAGTAATGGTGGGCGAGGCCTTGAGACTTTCTCCCCTGTGAATGGATTAATGCAGGGTCACAGGAAGAGATCGAGTCTTGTGTAAGTGTGATTCTTATAAAAGATGAGTTTGCTTCTCTCTATTTCTATCTGTGTCCTCCCCTCTCCTTTCATTGGCCTCCTCTGTCCTTCCCTTTCTCTGTCTCCCCTCCCTCTTCCTTGCTTGTTCTCTTTCCCTTCAACCTTCTGTCAAGGGACGGTGACACACTGAAGGCCCTTGCTAGTTGTGAGCTTTCCTGTCATGGAATTTCATGCTGTAGAAATATAAGAAATAAATATGTATTCTTTCAGCCACCCACTCACTATTAGCACAGTTGTTCATTGGATGAACAGAGTGTGTAGAAAACAGTCATTACCTATCTACAATGGGAGCTGCTACATAGGCACTGAGACACTATGAATCCTAAGAAAGTTTCCACAAGACATAACAAGCATCTTGTGGACAGTTTATGTTACTAAATTCAAAACTGATTTGAACTGATGTTAAACAACATCAATATATTTGGATATGGGTAATTGTCTTTACATCCTGAATAGATTTCCTGGAACCCACAGCAGTATTGCTTAATTTCATACATTTAATCTAATTGTCTGACCAATTAGTTCTTAATTCAGTTTTTTCACTTTCCAGATGTCTCTTTTTTGACAGTTATTTTGAGGAGTTATAGCATTATTTTATTGAGAAAACTTATTTAGTTTTGAAAGCAGTTCTTAAATATGTACATGGGGGAAAGATTTATTAAAAACTCAAAACTCAAAAAATATGCTTATAAATCCTTACTAATATTTTGTCTCTGCTTTCTAATCAAAAAGCATACATAAAGGTACACACATTTAAACCTGAGCAGTACAGACTCTTGGAAACTTTGTTCAAGTTTCTCTAAATACACCTCCAAATTTAACTGAAACTAACCCTTGGCACTTAGAGAGAAACACACAAAGAAGAAAAGCATTTTTCCTTCTTGTTTCCAAGCTGCACTGGGCTTTTAAATAGTTGAGGCTTGAGGACTAAATGATAAGCCACTGATATTTGTGGTGTGATGAGAATAAGAATAAAGAAAGCAATTTTGAAGGAGATGCCTTAATGTAAATCTTCTCCTTCAATGTTTAAAGTTTGTCTGAGAGAACAGTATTGGACACAGCTTTGAGTTTGAGCTCTTTATTCTATTTATTTATATTTGGGCTAGTTTCAACACTAGTGGATCTTGTATATGTGACAAGGTATTAAAGGTGTCAGAGAGACACGGGAAGGATGGAAGAGATAGATGGGAGGAGGGTGGGTCTTACTTCATAAACCGATGGCAGCACAAGCAACCAAGTAGGAGAGTTAAAATGTGGGAGAGGAATTCAGGTGAAACAGACAGGTCCTTAAATGTGAGGTGGTGGCGTTCAGAGGCCAGAGTTGCATTTTCTTTGAGACTGTGAAGAAACATCTTGGGAATGGCCTCTGTTGATCATGTCTGGTGCTGATTTAATTCCATTTGTCTCAGGGCACCGAATAGCAGGTGTTGGTTAAACATTCTTGTCCTAATGATTATGATTAAGTATGTTATCATTAAAATATTTTGTCTTCTCATATTTGAGTTCAGTGTAACTATACCCTAACTTTATAACATGTGTCTTTAGAGGCCTGAACTCTTTCTGATATTGCAATTGGATCAGACTACCTTTCTGGTTTGTTCATCACATGGAGTGTAATTCCTCTATTTATGTAGCTAGCAGGGGCTAGAGCAGTGTGAAATAAAAGAAGAGCAGCCAGTGAGAACAGAAAGGCTGTTTATTCAGGGTTTCCATTTGGCAGAGTCTCACAGCAGGAAGAGGAATGGGAGAGCAAAACGGCAAAAATGTGAAATTAAACTGGCCCACAGGTGCTTCTCTATAATCACTATGTAAACAAACTGTGTCCTTGCCCTTACTTAACAGCTTCCCCTTGTAACAAATAGCAGAGTGTTGACCAATCATTGCAGCCAATCACAGGCTGAAGCTGCCACCGCACATCCAAATCAGGCACTATAACCGACTGGGCTATTTCTGTCTACCACTTCCTTTTTCTGTCTATAATTACTGCTTGCCAACACTGCCAAGTGGAGCCCTGTGAGGCCCTCAGAACCCTGACCATTACTGCTCAATACACAGAAGCCTGCTCTTTTGCCCATGCAGCAAGATAATGAGGAACCGAACATCACATTTGTGTTTAAGCTGTTAAAAGCTGAGGAACATTTGAAGCTAAATTAAAAGACAAGAAAATAAAAATACAGTATTTTTTTTAGATTATTACTGTTTGTTTATCAGAAATCTTTATATGGATTAGACTTCTAATTTGATGATTATTATTGTTATTATTATTATTAAGTGATCAGATTTAAAAAACACCACCAGAATCAAGCCACTTTATTACATTCACTGTCACTTGATTCTCTGGTCCAATTAGAAATATTGTACATAGAAGAAGAACTGATGGCAGAGTTGACAAACTTGCTAAGTAAATTAAGTAAACTACTTACTAAACAGGGTATTTGCTGGTAGGAAAACCAGTCCTAAGAAAAGAAAAACCAAAGCATGAGACTTTCAAGAGTTTGGGGGCAAAGTAAACATGTAGAAAGACAATATGCTATATTACTACACAGATGACCAGAAGGCATGACTATGGCGGTGGTGCCACTTCAGAAGACACTGAAATCCCCAAGCATTAGTTCATTTGCTCAATTAGAGCAAAGACAAGATTTAAGGGTACTCAGGGCAGAGCTTGAAGTTGCAGAAAACATCATTATTTTGTTCAGAAGAGGAAGAGGGTGACAGAAGCTATGACCATTTTGACACTGTTCCTTGCTTACAGTGATTATGAGAGAGTTACATCACAGAGGCAGGGAAGGCCAATATTGCAGACTCTAATAAGGAACTTGGTTATTGTGTTGTGAAATGGAAACTCCTCAATGTGGTTTTGTCAGGTGAATATTATGACCACATTTGTGTTATAAATGGATGTTGTGACTTGTACCTTAGATGTCAAAGAGAATGTCAAGGAAGCCAGTTGTGTCAATTCAAGAGACATAATTCAATCCAACAGCTTGAACTGGGGTTCTTGAGGTAGACTTGCTACCAAGTAGAGAAGGGTGAGGGAAAGTCTCATAAAGAGTTAGTAGACTTTTCTGACTGATGGATTTGAATTTGGGCTTTAGCAGTCAAAGACAAGGACAGACAATCTCTTAGCATGGATGAATGCATGGCCTGGAAGAGCCATTAGTTGAGTGAGAAATAACTGTGCAGTACCTGAAATGATAATTTGTGTTATCTATAAGGCAATCATCAGATAATGAACATAAACTAAGGAGAACAGTCCTGCTTTTGGTGAAAAGTTTTGGAAATCATTAGGAATTAGATAAGACTTTTGTTGGAACCAGAAAATAAAAATCATACAAAGAAACTATAGTGAATGAGGACAGTGTCTCAGCTATCACCTTAGAGATGACCAGTCTGTAAAGGATGTGTTAAAAAAAAGAAAATTACAGATGACATGGAAAAGGGGTTTGATGCAGAACACAATGCAAGTAAAGGAAGGATCTGTGAAACTGGAAGAATTGAATACATAAAAATGAGTGGTAGAAGTTGGCCAATCATTAGGAATTGTGGGAAATATTTCAGCTAATAAAACCTACTATATTTGCTTAGCAAAAGCAGTAATGGAGATTGGCTGGGTTGGATTCATGCTACATACAGTACAGTAAAGAAAAGGTGAGGAAGTAGAAAGCAGGAATGAATGTAACATACTCCTTAAAGGAATTCCTTAAAGATGAAACCAAGTGGGGGGGTTAATAAAAAAAAGGGGTTGAGATTCATTGAGGTGTTGTATATCAAAAGAGAAAATGATTTTCTTTCTGGTGATACTAATGTACCCACATCTTGGAGGAAAAGAAAATCCCTCATGGGACCCGTTTTTTGTCATATTTTAAAAACTGGGGTCTTCAGGACTACTCTGTTTTCCACAACATCTTACAAGCACTTAAGAAAGACATTCTGATTTCTAAGAATTATTTAATGGAGGATTTAATTCTTGAATAACAAGTAATTTTGTTAATGCACAGAATCCACTGAGGAGCTAAAAGTCCGAAGCCACAGCACGGAGCCATTACCAAAGTTGGACAGCAAAGAGAGAGGTCATCAAGGAGCAGCTTCTTCCAGAGAGCCAAGGAAAGCTCAAGAATGGGACGGAACACCTGGTCCACCTGTGGTCACCAGCAGAATGGGCAGATGCTCTGTGAGCCCCACCTTGTTGGCAGGAAATCACAGTTCAGGTAAGCAGGCCCCTGTCCATCCAGATGTCTCTCTCAGCTTAGAGGCTGCTCTTATGTAGGTATCAATTAGGCAACCATCATCTCAGGCCAGTCTGCCTCCACTCAGACCCCAAACCTAGACACACACAGAAAGGGGTTGGCTCATGCAGCACACCACTGGACCATTACTCACAGTGATGGCAAAGTGATTCTCAAAGCTCTGCCATGTGGTGATGTCCCATGCTAACCGTCTCGCCAGCAAAAAATGACACGGGGACACTAATCAGGATCCTTCTGCAGTAAAGCTTTAATGCCTCTTGAGAGGAAGAGCATCAGCTTACAAAATGGAGACCCTGAACACCCAAAAACCCCTCCTTATATAGGCTGGCAACCGTCACCTCAGAAGTGTTACATTCTAACTGGCTGAAGCCCTCGGACCATGTGACGTCAGCTGATCGAACCATATGACGTCACGGGAGGGGCGGAGACTAAGGGCTAGAGAGTTACAAAGTTACCTATTGCTCATGCTCACAGCTTCCAACAGCTCCTTACATACGCACCGGCTTCTAACATGGTAGTGTTCAGATAGTAAAACTTAGGACTAAATGACTTCAAAAGTGACTCTCAAAGCTCTGCCATGTGGTAGTGTTCAGATAGTAAAACTTAGGACTAAATGACTTCAAAAGTGACTATTGGCCTAAATTAAAGCCACTTCAATTTGTGGAACTGAGTGATTTAGTGTCTGTGGTTCTTTTTCTTAAAAAGCTATTTTAGGCAACTAGGGAAATTTGATCAGAAGTAAAGCACAGGATAGGAATATAACAATAATGATCTGAAGGCACAAGGGGGAGATGCTGTTTTGAGTCACACAATCACTGGGCATATGACATGGCACGAAGTTCTCAAACCCAAACCAAAAGAGAAAACATTAATGTACCTTTCAATTTCATATCTTGAGATTAAAATAGGCAATGCAATTCTGCATGGCTAACAGATAAGTATTATTAAACATCAATTTGTAAAACAGCATATGTTTGCTTTGATTTGATTCATCTACATGTTGGTCTCACAGAGAGCTGTCAATTAAAATAAACAGTGAATAATCAAGGAACCTCCTGCAGTTTTCAGCTTTCTGTTCCGAAAGAATGCTAGGTCTCTGAAGAAAAGACCAATCCTTTCATGTTCTTTTTGACTTTAATACTCATCAAGGAAAGCAATTTACACTAAGTTAACCTGTGTACTCTGTGATATAGGTAAGTTAAAATACAGGAGGCCAATGATTTGGGCTTGGGGAGAGATGTTTCTGGGGAAAGACCTAGCCATAGCTACCCAGATTTAGAACTTGAGAACATTAGGTAAAGCTAAATGGTGTGGCCATCCCATGTACTCTATGAAGTACTTACCTTTCAGCTCAAGTGAAAAACTAACAGAGGAAAAATTTGATGCTTGTACAGAAATTCTAAATGATTTTTATGTTAAAGTAAAATGGTCATAGTTATACATGATGATTAGTCTTACTTGTCAACTGGATACACTCTAGAATCACCCAGAAAGATGTCACTGAGGGATTGTCTAGATCAGTTCAGTTGTGGTCATGCCTGTGGGAGATTATCCTAAGTACAGTAATTGATATGGGAAGATTCAATCCACTATGGGTAGCATCATTCCTTGGTTTGGGCTCTGGGTGTTTTATGAGTTTATCGAGTGAGCAGAGTAGTCAGCATGCATGCATTAATTCTCTCTTTACTGTGGTTGTCACTGGCTGCTTCAAGTTCCTGCAAGCCTGGTATTGTGAGCTAAAATAAACTCTTTCCCCTCAAATTGGTTACTGTAAAGGTATTTTATAATAACAAGTAGAAGTGAAATTAAGAAATTAAAACTATACATTTTTTCAAAATCAAAATATAAATAAAAATAGTAGACAACACTTACCAGCTAAGGCTAATAACTAAGTACATTTTTTCAAAAGCAAAATATATAAATAAAAATAGTAGACAACACTTACCAGCTAAGGCTAATAACTA